TGCCCATCCACAAGAAGGGCAGGAGGGAAGACCCAGGTAACTATAGGCCAATCAGCCTAACTTCTATCCTAAGGAAAATCCTAGAAAAGTTCATCAAAGAGTCCATCTTCAATAAGCTTGCAGAATGTAAGATTCTGAATGGCAGCCAGCATGGCTTCGTCACGGGCAGGTGTTGCCTTACCAACCTCATCTCCTTCTATGACCAGGTAACTCTCCACCTGGACACGAGAGCAGTTTGACATTGTATACCTTGACTTCCAAAAGGCCTTTGATCTAGTATCCCACAATGTCATTGTGAGAAAACTGGAGGATTGTAGGCTTAACTCCAAGCCAGTCAGATGGGTGAGAAACTGGCTGCAGGATATGACCCAGAGAGTCATAGTGAATGGATCTGTGTCATCCTGGAGAGAAGTGGGCAGCAGTGTCCCATGGGGGTTGGTGCTTGGTTCAGTATTTTTCAACATCTTTATTAACAATTTGGATGTGGGGGGAAAAGCTCACTGCCCAAGTTTGTGAATGACACCAAGTTATGCGGAAGCGTGATCACACTTGAAGATAGGTTACAGATATAGGTAGACCTAGACAGGCTAGCAAGTTGGGCAGATCGGAATCTGATGAAGTTCAACATTGAGAAATATAAAGTGCTGCACCTCAGGACCATCAACCCCCAACATACCTACAGGCTTGGCGGCAAACTAGCTAGCACCATGAATGAAAGGGACCTGGGGGTAATAATAAATGACAGTATGAATATGACCTGGCAGTGCGATGCTGTAGGCAATAGGGCAGTATGGCAAATAATACTCTAGCATGCATCAATTGATGCATCTCCAGCAAAACCAAGGACGTGATTCTTGTGCTCTACTCAGCACTGGTGAGACTGCAGCTGGAGTACTGTGTCCAGTTCTGGGCACCACACTTTAACAAGGATGTGGATAAGCTTGAAAGAGTCCAAAGAAGAGCTACCTGTATGATCAGTCTTGCATAGCAAGCCATACAAGGAAAGTCTGAGGGATCTGAAGCTCTTCAGCCTAAAAAAAAGAAGGCTGAGAAGGGACCTGGTAGCAGCTTATTGCTACAGTAAGGGAGTACATCAAGGGTTTGGTAAGCAACTGTTCACCAGGGCACCTGAGGGGAAAACTAGGAGTAATGGCTACAAACTCCTGGAAGACCGATTTAGGCCCAACATTAGGAAAAACTTCTTCACAGCCACGGTGTCCAGACTGTGGAATAAGCTCCCTCCAGAGGTGGTGCAATCACCTACCCTGGAAATCTTCAAGAAGAGACTAGACAATCACCTTGCTGGAGTCACTTGACCCCCAGTTATCTTTTCTGCTTGATGCAGGGCCCTGGACCCAATGGTCTTCCAAAGTCACTTCTGGCCTTACAATTGATGAATCTACGAAACACATCCCACAGGATCAGTCCAGCTGCCAAGGTGCCTGGCTGCAGGTGCAGCAGCACTGCCTCTACACCACTGCCCAGCCTGCCACTGCCTGTGCTGCTGGGCTGGGCTGGGCTGTCATAGACCTGCAGTCAGCTGGGAAGGGCCCTGCCCCACCAGGCCCTTCCTCACCAGCTGTGACTTCATGACAGTCCCACCCAGCCTGGGCAGGAGAACCCAGGAGCAATCTGGCTGTACAGTTCTCATGGCTCCAGCCTGAGCTCCAGCTGGCTGGAAAGGGCCCTGCCCCCATGGCCCAGCCCAGGCTGGCCTCTCTGCATCTGCCTTCAGCAGCAAGCCAGCTCGGCTTATCCTTACAGCCTCAGCCGTGGGCAAGGCAGGTGGATGGCTGGGCCATTTCACTTGGATGGCTCTGGTCCCATCCCCACCCCTGCCGCTGAAGTGGTAAGGGGGGTTACCCTGACAAGGCCTGCTCTGCTCGGCCAGCCAGTCCCTGCTGCAGTCCCCAGGTGGAGAGGGGAGGGAGGGGGGAATAAACTCTTCCATGGACCCTTATCCTCAGGGGGCCATGCCAGGCTGGTGTCTGGCCATGCCCTTGCCCCTGCTGTAGCTAGAGGGCTGGGGCCAGCCCTGTTGTCTGGAGAAGACCACACAGCCCAGCCCAGTGCTGAAAGGCATGCTGGGGGACTCTGATTTAACTTGAACCAGGAAGGGGTCTGAGACTGAAGTTCCAGAAACTGCTTTGACCCCCCAGGAGTGACCAGAAATAATGGTCACAAGCTGGCAGAGGGTAGATTCAGACTAGACATCAGGAGGAACTACTTCACGGTCAGGTCGGCTAGGATCTGGAACCAACTTCCAAGAGAAGTGGTGCTGGCTCCTACCCTGGGGGTCTTCAAGAGGAGGCTGGATGAACACCTTGCTGGGGTCGTTTGACCCCAGTACTCTTTCCTGCCATGGCAGGGGGTCGGACTCGATGATTTGCTCAGGTCCCTTCCGACCCTACCAACTATGAAGTTAAGTCTGATACTACATTCAACCAAGTTTATCTTAAACCAGATTTGGCCATTTTGAAATGGATTTATGTCAGGGGTGGGCAAAATACGGCCTGTGGGCCGGATCTGGCCTGCAAGGCCATTCTATCTGGCCCATGGGGCCCCTAAAAAAAATAAAAAAAAAAATAAAAAAAAAAAATGTAGAAAATTAATATTTCTCTGCCCATGGTTCCTTGGTTAAAAAAGGACAGGAACCAAGGGCAGTAGGACCAGGGGAAGCCCAGTGGGCTCCAAAACAGTGTGGCCTGCCTGGCCCTGCCCCCCCAGCTGGAAGTCCTTGCCAGGGCTTCTGGCCTGGGAGAAGGTGGCTGCCCCATACTGGAACCACAGGTAATTGGGGGGGGGGGCCCTAGGCAGGGAAGAAGTGAAGGGCAGGGGAAATGGCCCCTTCCCCACCCCGTGGTCAGTGCCTCATGCTGCAGCTTCTTGCAGCCCGCATGGGGCTGCCTATGCCTGCTCCAAACAACCCCAAGGGCTGCAAGTGGCTGCAGCAGGGAGTGCTGGCCATGGGGGGAGGGGGTCGCTTTTCCTCCTGTGCTCAGGTTTACATGGGCTCCTTCCCTTCATGGAGAAAAGCGGCCCCTCGCCCACCCCATGGCCAGCACTCCCTGCTGCAGCTGCTTGCAGCCCGTGGGGCTGTCTGGAGCAGGCATAGGCAGCCCCACGTGGGCTGCGAGCAGCTGCAGCATGAGGCACTGACCACGGGGTGGGGAAGGGGCCACTTCTCCCCAGCGGTGAGGGGCCGCTTTTCCCTGTGCTCAGCACCAGCTTCTTCCCAGCTGGCAAGCAGGGGGTCAGGGCTGTGCGCTGCCCCCCGCCTGTACCACGGGGCTTGGGGGCACTGGGTGTGAATGGGTGGGGAGCCAGTGAGAGCACGGGGCCTGCACCGGTACCGCGGGGCCCAGAGCAGGGCAGCAGGGGTATAGGGTCCCAGCTGGCAGGGCCGTATGGAGCCAGGCCAGTTCCTCCCCTCTCCCTGCTGGTGCAGCCCAGCCCAGCTCCACAGGCTCCTGCCAGCCTGCATCCTGCTTTGGCCCCCACCAGTGCTGGCCCTGGGACATTGGTCCCAAGACATTGGGACATTAATCCCAAGATGGTGACCATGGGGCGGGGCACCTGTAAAGGTGTGGGGCTATCCATGCGGCCCTCCACAGCCTGCCAAAACTAGGTAAGCGGCCCTCTGCCCTAAGTAATTGCCCGCCCCTGGTTTATGTGCACTGAATTAATGTTCTGTTACAGGTTTAAACCAGTTTCTGATCACTTCAACCAGTTGGTGTAACGTCTGTCCCTAGCCCAATTTGAGCTCATGATTAAAGTTAAGCACATAAATGATTTGTTGAATCCAGGGCTTTCCTTGGAAAAATGTTGAAGAAGAGCTTGCTCTAATGGAGAGAAGCTTTTGTTTCCTTAATGGGCTGATCTAGGGGCAATAAACACCGTGTTATCAACTCCTTGCTGGGCTGCTGTGGGGTGGGGGGGGCAACCCCTCCCTAATCAGAGTGTCCTACCTGGGCCTGGCCATTCCTCCCTCCCAGCACTGCTGAAGGGAAGGGAGATCTGCTCTAGTGTCCCCTGGCTCCTAGCCTGAGCCACTGCAGGCAAGTGTCTGCATTTCTGGAATGAAAAGGGAATATCTATATACCTCCAAATCTGTTCAAGCTTTGCAGGTTAGACTAGCTTTCAAAGACTGAATTCAGGCTCAGGGTTTTTGAATGTCTGTCCCTAGCCAAGATGGACTAAAGTACAAGCTTAAGTGCTTTGCTGAGTTGGAGCCAATTTTGACCCCAATGATGGAAAGAGGAGATTTATTTATGCACTTTTGATCACAAATCAAAATTTTAGGCAGGTCTTGTGTGGAATTGCATGCATGCTAGGTATAAATTGCTTATAAAGATTCTGGGCAAATTGACTTCACAACAAGTGTTCATAAAATGAATGACTCGATACTGATTTTATGTATTGATAAGTAAAAGAAAAGCTCTGTTCCCCCCACAAAAAATGAAGAAGTGTTGGCACTATCCCCCTGTATGACAGTCTTATGTAGTCTTATTTCCTAAGAGTTTTCAGATGACCCATCTTCTCGCACACATTCTTGATAATTTTTTCCAGACGCGGCCTGGATCAAATTTAGAAAAGGAGTTTCTCTACCTACAAGTCTGGGGAACAGATCATTGCCTGAGATTTGTCTTTATATGCTCCTAAATTTGCTTCAGTATTTCCTGGGGCATATTGAACAAGTGGGCAATCACACATTTGCCTAAAATTTAACCGGTACAAGATGATGAGGAATTTTGGCCATGTAACTGTAGAAGCAGCTCAGAGTATTGGAAATTTGGCCCAATGAATCTTTTCCATCCTAAATCTGATTCTATGACCATTACTAATTAGTTGGCAGGCATCTTACAACTTATCCTGCTGGTTTAAATGTCCACCAGTTTTTTGGGTTTTTTTTATATATACAGAGTTCTTTAAGCCTGGGATTATGATTTCTAGTGCCAGGAGGAAAGAAGGATTAAAAAAACAAAACCTCAGGAAGAATTAAGAATATATTATTTATCCTTTTCCATTACTATTCAGAGGCATTATGACTTAGATTTTTCCTGACCCTGTTTGGGTGCCCAAGGGGATCAAAACTTCTGTGCTAGGCCAACACCTCTTGAGCTATGCATAACGTGGCTATCATAAAGGACATTCTGGATTCCTACTACTCTGTCCCCTGTATGAAACCCAACACCTTTATGTCTCTTCAAGAGAAGAATAGAGGACAGAAAGGTGTTGGGTTTTGTATTAACAGAGGACAACCGGACTGTCCTCTATGATGGCCCCCCTAGCATGCATCAGGGATTCTAACTTAAAGAAAGTCATCAACATATGCTGTGGCCACACTAGGTTGTTGTCACTGTAAATATTTGGGACTTTGGTCCTTCCCCATCTCCCCCTCACCTCCCCCCGCTTTTTTTCCTGTGTCACAGATTAGCTAGCCCTCTCTTTTCAGAGAATTTGTGTATGTAGAGAGAAGCAAAAACAGCAATGGAAGTGCACCTGCCTTCCAGGAGATGTATGTGAGATGCCAGCCACGTAGCACACTCCAGCAGGAGTAGCTGATGGTGTTGGTCCTGTTCTGTTCCTCATGGCCCATCTCTATCACCTGTGTCAGGTTTGGGCTGCCATCAGGAACCCTCCCCTCCCCCCATCCCACTTGCTCCAGCTCCATAGGCACCCTCCCCCCCCAAAATGAGGCCTGGTTGCCACCCCAGGGCAGTGCTGAGCATGTGCCCATAAGCAACCCCAGGATAAGCAGGCTGAGAGGGGTGCAATGTGTGCATTCAGCATTTCTCTGAGCTGCTACATTGCTTCACTTTCAGAAATTGGTGTGAATGAGCATGGGGACTTCATGGGTGAGGCATGCCCCTTGTGCATGGCTTGGGGGCAGTGCTGACATCCCTGAGCAGTATTGAGCCTATCACCTTGTTACAAATCCAGCTGCTGGGGACACAGATATTACTCTAAGTGAAAACTGTATGAGCCTCCTGGAGCAGAATTTAGGCTGAATTTGTATAGCCTCTTCCCCTTTTTCCTGTGCCTTGCCAACTGTCAGTGAACTTGGGTACAGCAGTATTTGTAAGGGATGGTCCAGTGTCAGGTGCACGTGGCAGCTATTATACTCTCAGTAACAGTGCCCTGGAAGCCTAATGCATTAGAACCTGAATTACTGAGGTGAGAAAATAAGACCAAACCTCAGGGCTGTTCTTCAGAAATTAAAACTTGTCCATGCTCAGTACATCTGTGGGGCTCCTCCTCCTGCTGTTGTACTACAGCAGCCTAACAGAGCACAAGCCTAAATACTGGGGGAAATTTCAATCTGCAAAGTACCAGCCACAGCACTACTGCCTCTTCCCTTGAACCCAGGCCTTCTTACCTTCACCATGTTTTTAAAAAAGAGCTGAAATGTATTTTACAAGTGGGCTCTATGCAGCACTGATTTCATTAGTGCTGTCTGGGCACCTCCCCAATACCATAGGAACCTTGAACATTTTTCCTA